GGGGGGTGACAACTTGCCAACTGCACTATGTTGCCACACCCTAATCTAATTAATTAATAATTGTAATATTATAAAGTATTTGCTTATATGTAGGCAAAGAAAGTTATAATTCACTAAATTATATTTATCAAAAATTTGCCCAAGAACTTCAAGAATTGAAAGATGATGGATTTGTTGATAATATGGGAGTTATATGGCCTGTAGAATTTTTTTTTACGGGAGATTGGAAATATTTGGCTCTTGCATTAGAGCTTAATGTGGCCAACTCAACATATTTTTGTCTATTTTGCAATTGTCATGAAAATCAACTTGCAGATATGGAATTGAATTGGAATAATGGATCAAATACATATGGTAAATATTAAATTAGTTATTATATATATTTTTTATTTAAAAAATTGCTTTACAAATAAATAATTATGTATAAATTTTATAACTTACAAACTTTAATTAAAATCAATACTTAGGACGTAAACATCCAATGCTTTTTGAGATGATTAATGAAGGCAATTGGATACCTGATGAATTACATACTATGTTATGTATTTCAGATATATTATTCCAATGTGCTTTTTATGAACTATCAGCAGATAGAAAAAATTTTGCAAAAATTAGTACATTAATAATTAATGAAATGAGACGAATTGGTGTGCATTTTGAATTTTTTCCTCCAATAACCAATTCTAGCCCTTGGACTTGGACTTCTTTGATGGGTCCTAATAAACTTAAGGTACTACAGAGCTTTCAAATAGCTAAATTTTTTAATGATGATAGAGGAAAAGATGTTGAATATCTTTGGCATGAGTTCTATAGACTTTATAAATTAATGCGCCAACAATATTTAATTGATATCAAAATTGACTTATTTGAAAATAATGTAAAACAATGGGTTAAAATTTTAGCAAACCAACAATTGGAAAATTAAATTCACCAAATCAACAATGAGGAATGTATTCAAAAAAAAATGTAACACCATATATGCATATGTTAACTCAACATATACCTAAGTTTATGTGTAGCTTGAAAAATAAAGGATTATCATTATGTCTATTTTCAACTTCTAGTCTTGAAAAAAAAATTATGAACATGTAAGAAATTATTAATATTATTTAAAATAATTTTATAATTTTACTAACATATAACTATATAGATACGGCTTTTTTTTTCTGGAACAACAATGGGTGGAGATAAAAATCATATATCTGCAATATATAATATTATGGTATATGAAAATCGACAAATATATTATCGAATTTATAATACTCCAACAACTTATTCACGCAAAGTTATTCAAATTAATTAAAGATAAATAAAATTTGTTATTGATTAATTTACTACGTATTATATTACAATATCAATAAAAAAATTTATTTACTTTATTCTAAAATAAAATCTAGAACATCAGTTTTAAATGAACATATTACTGAACCACATAATAAAGGATAATGATGTTTTTTATATATATATTCTTTCTATATAAAATTAATTTCATATATTTCAGACTCATTTTCCATTAGAACATAAACGGTAGTTTCTAATCCATCTTCTTTGCTACCCTATCTATTATCCTTCAATAAATTTCCTAATTCTCTGTAACTTT